TTGTGGAGCAAAAGCTACTTCCAGGCTTAACAAATGTAACACTTCCTTTGTGTGAGCAATGCATAACAAGTAAGCAGCACCGGTTGAAATTCAATACATCAAATTCTAGAGGCAAAAGTGTTCTAGAATTGGTTCACTCTGATGTATGGCAAGCACCGGTTACATCCCTAGGCGGAGCAAAATATTTTGTCTCATTTATTGATGACTACTCCAGGAGATGTTGTGTGTACCCTATTAAGAAGAAGTCAGATGTATTTTCAACTTTCAAAAACTTCAAAGCATGGGTGGAACTTGATTCTGGAAATAAGATCAAGTGTTTCAGAACAGATAATGGAGGAGAATATACAAGTGAAGAATTTGATGACTTTTGCAGGAAAGAAGGCATCAAAAGACTGTTCACAGTGGCGAACACTCATCAACAAAATGGAGTGGCAGAGCGGATGAACAGAACCTTGTTAGAAAGAACAAGAGCAATGTTGAGGGATGCAGACCTAGAAAAATCATTATGGGCAGAAGCAGTCAATACCGCCTGTTATTTGGTGAATCGAGCTCCATCAACTGCAATAGAGCTGAAGACACCATTGGAGATGTGGACTGGTAAACCAACTGATTATTCAAACCTCCATGTATTTGGAAGTATTGTGTACGTGATGTATAACCCCCAAGAAATTTCAAAGCTAGATCCAAAATCCAGGAAATGCAAATTCTTGGAGTATGCTGATGGTGTAAGGGGGTATCGCTTGTGGGATCCCACTACCCGCAAAGTGATCATTAGCAGGGATGTTATCTTTGTAGAAGATAAGCTACAAAGAAAAGAAGACGATGATAGCGCTGAAAAGTCAGAGACTACACAGATACATGTGGAAAAGGAGGTTGAACAAGGAGATTCTTCTGAAGTAGAACCAACACATGATGAACAAGAACCAGAGAGCTCTGAAGCTCCAACAACTCGTCAATCAGATCGTGTGAGAAGACGTCCCAATTGGCACTCAGATTATGTTATAGAAGGTAATATTGCATACTGCCTTTTAACAGAGGACGGTGAGCCATCAACATACCAAGAGGCAATAAACAGCTCAGATGCTTCACTATGGATGATGGCGATGCAAGAGGAAATTGAAGCCCTTCATAAAAATAATACATGGGACCTTGTGCCACTACCACAAGGAAGGAAGCCAATTGGTAACAAATGGGTCTTCAAAATCAAGCGAAATGGTGACGATCAAGTTGAGAGGTATCGTGCAAGACTGGTGGTCAAAGGATATGCTCAAAAAGAATGTATTGATTTCAATGAAATATTTTCTCCTGTGGTTCGACTAACAACAGTTCGAGTAGTTTTGGCAATGTGTGCTACATTGAACTTACATCTAGAGCAACTAGATGTTAAAACTGCTTTTCTTCATGGAAATCTTGAAGAAGAGATTTACATGCTCCAGCCTGAAGGTTTTGAAGAGAAAGAAAAGAAAAACTTGGTTTGCAGGTTGAACAAATCTCTGTACGGTCTAAAGCAGGCGCCGAGGTGTTGGTATAAGAGATTTGATTCCTTCATTATGTGCCTTGGATATAACAGACTTAATGTAGACCCCTGTGCTTATTTCAAGAGGTCTAGTGATAACGATTTTGTTATATTGCTGTTGTATGTGGATGGCATGTTGGTTGCAGGACCCAACAAAGATCATATTGAAGAATTGAAGGCACTACTGGCTAGGGAATTTGAAATGAAGGACTTGGGATCAGCAAACAAGATTCTAGGGATGCAAATTCACCGAGACAGAAGTAATATGAAGATTTGGCTTTCACAAAATAATTACTTAAATAAGATATTGTCACAATTCAACATGCAAGATTGTAAGCCAATTTCTACCCCTCTTCCTATTAACTTCAAATTATCCTCCAGTATGAGTCCTAGCAGTGAAGAAGAGATGATGGAGATGTCTCGAGTACCGTATGCATCAGCAGTGGGAAGTTTGATGTTCACTATGATATGCACAAGATCAGACATTGCACAAGCAGTGGGAGTGGTTAGTCGGTACATGGCGAATCCAGGCAAAGAGCATTGGAATATTGTAAAGAGGATCCTAAGATACATCAAAGGGACCTCAAATATTGCATTATGTTACGGAGGATCAAACTTACTAATCAATGGTTATGTAGATTCTGACTATGCAGGGGATTTGGATAAAAGCAAATCTACTACAGGATATGTGTTCAAAATTGTTGGTGGAGCTGTACGTTGGGTTTCAAAATTGCAGTCAGTTGTGGCTACATCCACAACAGAGGCAGAATATGTAGCAGCTACACAAGCCAGTAAAGAAGCAATTTGGTTGAAGATGCTATTGGAGGAGCTTGGGCACAATCAAGAGTATGTCTCTCTGTTTTGTGACAGTCAAAGCGTCTTGCATCTAGCAAGGAATCCAATATTTCATTCAAGGACAAAGCACATACGAGTTCAGTACCATTTCATTCGTGAAAAGGTGGAAGAAGGGACGGTAGATATGCAGAAGATCCATACCAAGGACAACATAGCAGATTTCATGATGAAGGCGATCAACGCTGATAAATTTACCTGGTGTCGATCTTCCTGTGGCCTGTCAGAAACGTAAGCAGCATGAAGGTACAAGGTAGAAAGAATGGTGTGAAGATATGATTGTTCCAATCAAATCTTCAAGTGGGAGATTACTGAAAAGTCAACAAGTGTAGGCAATTTTCGGTGGGTTTTTTGACAACAATATTTTCAGTGCAAGTGGTGCAAATGGCAGCTGAAATTGTTGAATATTTTGGATGGTAAAATTATGCAATTAGTCATTGAAATTTAGGGTACTTACAAATTAGTCCTTAAGCTTCAACTATAAATACCCTATCTCATTTAGCTTTAAAATCATCCCAAAACATTCTAGCTTTCTTCCAATACTAGAGAGAATTTAGAGAGTTTCTTGAGAGTTGTTTTCTCCTTTTTATCAAGAGAGAATTATCATTGTTTTCTCCTTGGTCGATCGAGAGAAGTTGTAATTCCTATTTTCTCATAATGAAATTCTTCTACCGTTGCCCGTGGTTTTTACCCTAAATTTTAGGGGTTTTCCACGTAAATTTTGTGTCTCTTTTATCTTTATTTTTATTTTCTCAAATTATCAGTTGCGATTTTACTCTATCCGATAGCCGTCTTCCGCAACAGTTCCAGCTGTTTCTGCAGTTGTAGTCACGGTGGTAATGAGATTAAGTTGTTGAGAGAGAGAGGTTTCGCCGCCACTAGTGTAATGAGTTTCGGGGCCTTGATCGTACAAGATTCCTTTGAACACATGCCCCCCGATATTCATCGCCGTTTGATAAGCTAACTCCTCTTCTTCATTGTCCACCGCACTTACTTTCACACAGCGAAACACTGCTGGTGAACTCACTTCTTGAGGCAATTGACTCAGTTCCAACCCTAATTCAAATTTCCAAAAACATAATAAACAAATCAAGATCTAAAAGAAAAACAAGCTTACAAAATGAAAAGTAAATAATAAAAATAGGGTTTTCTTTGAATTCTCCCCCCAACAAAACACACACACCGAATATGGGACTTTCTCGTCAGTTTCCCCAGAAAACAGTGGCGGATTAATGGAAAAATTGGAAAGCAAGTAGCTTGGTGAACATTGAGGTGCTCGCTCACACGCAAATGATACGATCTTATTGGGTGCTACCTATAACTGCTGGAATTATGGGAAATTGTCAAATTATAACTTAACTTTACCTGATGAAGTTGGGGAGTGCAAGCAAGAGAGGGAGAACCATGATTCTCTCTCACCCTTTTCGGATTCTCCCCTCGGACTTGTTCCTCGTTTTCTCGATGCTGCGTCTGTTGCAAAGCCGCGAGTTGCTGTTGTCCCTCTCACCTTTTAGCACCGGGAACCCAAGTGCTCTTAACGTGCATTTGGCACCGAAACCCTCTACTCTTACAACAAGTCCTACATCTCAAATGCGAACAATTTTCTTAGCTTGGTTTCCACAATCTTGGCAATTCATCCCTCCATGTTTCATAACAGTAAACCCTACTGATCTCGAAGACGTCTCATCGAACAAGTTAAACCCACTAGCTCATACTCGACTAGGATCCGCTCCAAAAGAGATGTTGGTCACGTTCGGCTGCTGCTGCTGGTAATAATACTGCTGCGTCCATATCTCGAAACCCTTGTTGTAGATCTCTTCGTTCTTATACAAATACAGACTCTGGTCTTTATCTACTTCTCCTTGTTTATTTCCGGTGTCTGCAGCTTCTCGAAGAGGCAGCGACTGTTGTTGTTGTCGTTCCAGCAGTTTTTGCCGTTCCAAAAATGAAGCTTAATGAGATACAAAGAAGGGCAAAAGTTTTGTTATCCTGGTTTGCAGCAATCCTTTTAGGGTTTTCATTTGATTTCACTCCAGTGTTTTGGGTTATTTAGATTTTTTATATATAAAAAAACAGACATTGATGCCTTATACTTAGTGGCAAGCCTGAGTTTTATTGGTTTTGGTATGTTTGCATGATGTTTAACGTTCAAGGATCTTCGAGGAACATGCTTTTATTGGTTTGCATGATGAGTTAAATAAGGTTTTGTTTCATTCTGTAACTGAGTAGCGTGCTTGGACTAGTGGGCGAGCCGCCCACTGAATCTCCCTACGCCTTCTCTGACCCTCTTCATTCGAGAATCGTCTCACGACCCAAGCTTTCTGAATCAAAGATGTAGGTATTTCAATTGAGCATTAACAATTACATTATAGATCCGAATAATAAATCCCAATGTTCCTTTTCCTTCACCAAAATAAGTTGGGTTTCCTAGATTAATCTGAATCAATTAATCAATTAAATTATAAAATTAATTAATGATATTAATCAATTAATAACATTATAAAAAATAGTCTGAAATTATGTCAAATTAAAGTATAAGGACTAAATACTAAATGTTAGGACAATAGGGGACGAAGACCAAAATTTGAGCTGAATAAAATAGTTTCACTTACACGATTACAAAATGCCCATAAGCCAACCGTGACTCTCGCCTACGCTCTCGGCCTTTAATCCTTATTCCTCTGGAAAGTCATTCCAATGTACAATTCCCCTCTTTGAATCGAAGCATCGAACAGTTCATGTCTGATCTCGCTGCGTGAAGCTTAAATCCATAATTCAGAAACCCCAAAACCTGAAAAGAAAAAAAAATCAAGAACAACAACAGAATTGGCAAGGAAAAAACAAAGCTTGGATTGAGCGGGAGATGATACTACCTGTAGTAAAGCTCGGGACTCTCGCTTTAAAAACCGCTTGCAAACCCATTGCTAGTCGTCTCAAGAAAGAGGCTGGTTTACATCCCAGATTCCGCCAATTCATCATCAATATTGCCCAGGTTCCCCCTCTTTTCTATCTCTCTTTCCTTTTTTGATTATTATCAATTTATCATGTCTGGGTTCTTATTCCTTTATTATTGTTTTAGAACTAGTTTTTTTTTTGTTCTCTTTGGATGTTTTTATTACTGGGTATTTAGTTTTTGATCTCTGGTTGACGTCCCCTGCACCCTCCAATTATGAATTTGATGAGATTAACAGTGTTTTAAGTTTCTCTGTTGTAGTTATTAGTATTCCTGTTACACTCCCTGGAAAGATTTCTATATGTTTTGACACTTTCAATTGAGCACATTATAACTTGTAGCAAGGTCTTTTTTTAATGCTGGTGAGACATGTTTGCTATTTAACACGCTTATAATTAGTACAATTTAGCCATTAATGTTCAGAGTATGTCTTTGGTGTTGATATTGGTATGCGTTCTATAGGTAGAGTTTCTTGTCTACAGTTCAAAGATGCTTTTTATGGGATTTCTTCCCTGAGTGAGAATGACCATATTTTGCATGCTGGAGAGGCATTCAATCTTTTTTAATGTTGAAGTACCCCGTATGTTTCCATCTTCGATAATTTATGCTTTTAGTAAGATGTGATATTCAATGATGGAAATGTTCTGAAGTCTGAACCATGAGATTTAACCATGTTATTTTCAATTTTATGCTGTCCCTTCACTCCCAATGAAATTCAGGAGAATTTCTTTTATTACCCAGATGTGCAGATTGTAGTGTGGTTGTTTGTTTTCTTATTTTAAGGATGTTTTATTTTGTATGCTGAATCAGGCAAATCATCGATTCACAACCAATATGCAAAGACGGATTTATGGTCGTGCAACTGATGTTGCAATACGCCCATTGGATGAGGAGAAAGCTGTCCAGGCTGCTGCTGATCTTCTAGGGGAGCTCTTCGTGTTCACGGTACTTTCTCTGTTTAATTTTACTATTCTGGCATCTTGTTCAAACTTACCACTAGGGTCTGTAATTACAATTCCTCCCATCTATAGTTTGGGATCATTTCTTTAACTGAAAAAGCAAGTGCTAAAAAACAGAGCATCTTTACTATTTTTTTAAAATGGCTGTTGTTCTTTTTTTCCACTGATTTAGGTTCTGTTTGCCTAAAGTTTTGATGTAGCAAATGAATGGACAAATTGGAAAGGCTGGTTGGTTTGGTACATGAACCCTACTGGTGAATGATCTGAATTTTCAGCTTCATTAGTCTACTTGCCATGGATTTATGAAGATCGAAGATGGAAATTTATTCCTGAGTATTTCATGGTGTTGTGTTGAAACTAAAGCATTTATTTGCTTCAAATTGACCTAGAAACACATAAACACATACCAGTGACTTTTAGGTTCTATGATCATCCAGCTCTAGTAGGATACAATGCTCTCTTTACTCTTAATGATCCACAAGCCCTACTATGGCCATAAGATCGAGTATAGTCAAAAAGGGCATATGAACGAGAGGATGCTCTCACATTGAATCCTCTTATTGTTAACAGTGAGTTCCCACCACAAGCAAACTTCTAAGAAAATTGCCTTTCACATTAGACAGCTTGGAAAGATGCTAATAGCTTTTAGGGTGAATAGAAACACTGGGACACGGAGAATCACTTCACTGTTTTTGGTTGATGAATTTTACTCTCATACTTTGCGTAAGGGTGAAGCATCTTTTATGATACATATTTTCCCACCTCTAATTCTTACATAGCTTATTGCACCAAAACTTTCCGTACTTAAACTCTATCTCTCTATAGGTTGCAGGAGCTGCTGTTATTTTTGAGGTACAAAGAAGCTCCAGATCTGAAGCAAGAAAAGAGGAGCAGCGCAAACAAGAATTGGAGGTATTTATTTATCTTCGATAGATGTTACTACGCTAATGGATCCGTCTCTCTCATTCACTCATCTTTTTTATTGTTTGATTGAGTAAATCTCTCCACAATCTTGTTGTCTTTCAAGATGATTAGCTTTTAGTACTGAACACCGACAGATTCAATCTTGCGATGATGCACTTTGAAGTGATTAATTTTTTTTATTCATCTTGTTGCCACCATTGCTTGGTTTATTATACATCGTTTATCCATTGTCTACTGTTTAGGCAATGAAACAAAAAGATGAAGATCTAGCACGAGAAGTTGAGCTGCTTAAACAAAAAATTGAAGAGCTGGAACAACTAGCCAGAGGACGGGGATTTGCCGGTTTATTCAACCCTAGGCACACACACGGTGCCGAAGGTGTAAAAGCCAAATCATCTTGATTATTCCAGGAACCAAGCTTGACTCTGAATTTCGATGTAAGAACTAATTTAGCCGAGAACATTTCACTATTTCGAAAAGAGCCTTCAAACTCCAAAACCATATTTGAGAGAGAGAGAAACATTTACCTGATTTCATGCAGTTGACTTGGTTCTGAAAATTATTCTCAGCTTCTGTTGAATTTCGGTTTGTTTTGGACATCTGGGAGTTGGAAAGTTCCAGTTTAGTTCAAGTCCCAATATTTGATTGAACAATTGCTTACATGTGAAACATGAAGGAATTCATGGTGAAGCTTTTGGGATTTTACACGTGTTATAAAGCATGACATATCATTATGATAGTTTCTTACCATTCATCGATTCTTCTATGAGAAATGTTTTTTCACCACTGATTTAGATATATAGTAATTCATGTTAAAATAGTTCAAGCAGATAAATAAATCGTGTAATTTTAGTGAGAAGGAATTCAAAATCTGCTGCTTTTATTGCAAATGCAGTGCAAATGTTCATTATTTAACCTCCCAAGTTTTTTCTATTAAAAAAATACTCTGTTGTAAGTTTGAGCACACTGTAATATCTTATGATTTAGGGATTTAATTTGATGCATTTATCACGTTTAACAGAAAGTAGGACATTAGTTTTATATCGGAAGAGGTAAGACAAAATTTATGCATATATCACGTATAAGAGAAAGTAGGACATTAATCTTACATCAAAACAGATAAGAGAGGTTCTTAACTTATATAGAAAGAGATGAGGTAAATGAGGTTTTAAAATTTAAAATCAGTGACACAATAAATTTTTTTATAAAATAAAAATAATAAAAACCTTTAATCCTCTCAGTAATATGTCGAAATACAAAACGTCAAATTATTTTTAATAATTAATAAATAAATTACTAATCAATTGAAAGAAAAGCTGAAAAGAGTTTCCCTTTGCATGTGGATATATAAACAGATGGACTTTCTCCCATTTTTGCATATCCAGAGACTGCTCTCCACCCCACTTTTGCAGTTGCATGTAACCTTTCACACAATAATATTCCTCTTTATTCAAACCAAATTCTCCTCAATCCCTTCCATTTAGGTAAATAGCATTTCTTTAGTTATCTTTTTTTCTCAATATTGTTCTTTTTCTTTATATTTTTTCCTAAGATTGGGATTTTTGGATGCTCTTTAAGAGATCAAATGCGTAACCCATGTTTATTTCTCTTCTTGAAGTCATCCCTTTGACTTAATTTTTATGTTTTCATGTTCTTGGAGGGGGTTTCCGTATTCAATTTGGGGAAGTACTTGTTATATTTCAGGGTTTTGGGCAGGATCGTAACTGTGGAAATTAGGTGGATTGAGGATCACTATGGAAAAGGGTTTTTATTGATATCCCCACCATCAAACAACATTGCAAGACTGTCCTCAGTTTTTGTCATTCTTTTGTTTATTTAAGTCCATGTGTGTGTGTGTTCTTGTGTTGCGGTGATTTAAGGGTTGAAATTGTTGGATATGTTAGGTTTTCTAAAGTTGCCCATTTTGGTTTAATGGAGTTTTGGTGTTAGGGGACAATGCAGAATAATTCATCAAATAGTAAATGTACATCTGCATCTCACCAGTTGATGGTGGACAATGCCAAGAACAGGCTACATTTTCTCCAAGAACAGTTCACCGATCTTCAATCTGCTAGGAAGGAAGGTAGAACCGGTGATGTTGACGTGTTAGAGGAACAAGTTTATCAGAATCTTCGTGAGTGGAAAGCTGAGCTCTGCACACCATCCCCGGCCTCGTCTTTATTGGTTTATATTTTTCTATTTTATGAAAACTAACTTAAAACTCTTTGTACCAATCTACCTGTAAATAAAATTGGGGTAAACTCTTGATTTTGATCTCGGTGGATAGTTTTTCTGTGCCTCATTAATGAACTTTATGTAGGGTAGTCCTGGATCATTCTCTGATGATATATACCGATTGTTGCAAATAAACGAGGAGGAAGATGATGCCCCTAGTGCATTGAAGGGACCACCAGTGCTGAAGCCTGAGATTGATGATCAAAGCCTAAATCCCGGTAATTTACATGTAATTCCGGAGGTGAGAGCTTTATCTCTGAGTATTTTATGTAAAGCAAATGTGGGTAGAACTATCCTACTGCAGTATGCAACTGTACAGAACTTGTTTGACTCGTTGATTTAGTGTCCTAGTAGAAAACATGTTAAAGACTACATGTTTTCTTGATTTGAACCTCTGACTCTGCATCACCTTCCTTTTTTGGCTACGTTTGTTTTGTTTTGAGAGTTTCTGGCTGTTTAATGCACTTCCTATGTGTGAAGTTTGCCTGGAAGTGGCGATGAAGATTGACACATTTTCTTCCTCAGGAGCATTTTGTGAGTCATGAGCCACAAGAACAATCATTTCAGGGGTTTGATTTATGTAAAGTCTCGACCTCACCTAATGCTGACAACAATTATCAATTGGATTATCATCCTTTTGACTTACAACAAGAATTTGACCATGGGCTTCTCATTGGTGTCAATCGTGCAGAAGATTATGTGGAGGATGCTAGCCCCAACATACTGCAAAACATCTGTCCTCCACCATCTGCTTTCACGTCTCTGGGATTGTACAAGGCCTGCTCAAGGATCTGTCTGGTATCAGGACTATTGTAGCAGTTTTCATGCTACTCTAGCTGTAAATGAAGAACCCCCTGGCACAACTCCAATTATATGCCCTGGTGGAATTAGCTTAAAGGATAATTTACTACTTGATGCAGTTCGAGCAAAGGCACAAGGTAAGAATGTCGGCATCCCTCTATGTGAAGGTGCTGCTACCATGAAATCACCTTGGAATGCTACAGGTAAAGTTCTCTGTCTCTCTCTCTCTCTCTCTCAATAAAAAATTATGAATAATAATAAGAATATTCTTTGTTGTCTTGGAAGTATGGTAGGTAATGTGGTATGATGTGGTTTCTGGCTACATATCTGAAATGGGAGTGTCTGGTTTCTGCGTACCACTTTACTTTCTTTAGGTAATTTGACTTGGATAATAAAAACCAGTAACTTTTTTTCCTTTTCCTTGCTATCCATGTCCTATAACAAAGGCCATCCCTTGTATTGCAGAGCTCTTTGATCTTTCTTTACTTGAGGGTGAGATAATCAGGGAGTGGCTCTTCTTTGATAAGCCTAGGAGGGTATTCGGGAGTGGAAACCGAAAGCAAAGGTGTTTGCTCCATATAGACTGGAGCTGAAGCTTGCCAATCAAAAGAAGAGTCCGAAAGCAAAAGTTCCAAAGGATTCCCTTGCTGATCTGCAGAAGAAAATGGGAAGGCTCACTGCTGAAGTTCCTGGAGATGATAAATCTCCTGGTGAGGCCAAGACGAAGGTCAACAAGGAAGCTGCCAACACCGCAAATGCTGGTTCTGCTCAAGGTTAAGACTGACAAGCTTGAATTATGGTTCTAATGTTCAGAACAGAAGAAAATTGACTAGTTAGTTGTGCATTTGGCATCCATTGTCAAGCTTTATGTAGGTGGTCTATAGATAGAGACCATAGATTTCAAAGTCGTTTTCTGAAATTACTTCTTTAAACCCTTCTTTGGTTGCTGCTTGGTGGCTTCTATTCTAAAAGGGAAACATCTGGTACATTACTCCATAAACTAGATATGGAATATACTGAGAGAGGGCAGTTGCATTGGCGCAGTCCCATTTGCCTGTCTTTCATGGAATTCTCCTATTAAGCCACCCTTCACCACCACCATTGTCAAATTTCCAAGGCAAGCTTTTCCTTTTAGGGCAAAAGCACTGGAACAAGCCAATATGTAGGATACAAAGGATGAGGAAGAGAAAGTTACAAAATGTTGAACCAAGAATCTCTTTTTCTCCCTGTTTACTTTGATTTTGAAGCAACAAGATCCAATATTTGCATTCCAAGTAATGTATACTTTCAATTTATGAAGCAACAATATGTGATGCTTGTATTCTAAGTAATTTATGAAGATATAACTTCAGTGGGGGCAGCCATCTCCATTGCCTTGCCCCCCACCCCAACGGCCATCAAATATCTGTATCTACCAGACTCGTTGCAAAGAAGCATTGAACAAAAATTTATGAAATTGAAAGGATCTTCAAAGTACATCCAAGACAAATAACAAGGAAAGAAGTAACATTTAAGCCCCTGCATAACAACAGTTAAAGTGGTTGAACACAAAAAAACAACATAAGCGTATTCTACACTCCATATGAACCTATTCTTATCAGTCAGCTACACTTCTGAGCGCTCAAGGGAGTTTGGTCCCTCAAACCTTCTTATTATTTTAGAATAGAACAATTCATGATGGTCCTGTCATTTGAGTTTTAGAAACACCTAACTGTATTTTACCTTGCACAAAATGAGATTCTATCGAACTTCCTGAAAAATAATAAAATTTACTATGGGGCAGAGACAGCAGCCATTCAGAATAGAGCATCCATCTACACCTTCAAGAAAGTTACAACTTCTTCAGTGTGGTTCTGCAAGACGGCAATCATTTAGTTGGCAACTTGAAGATATAAACGAAGTTAAATGCCACTCTAGTAACAAATTACAACCAGCCACTTGTACCGACAGACAGGTAATAACTCAAATTGAAGGCTAAAGGTAGGGGAAAACAGAAAACAAAAAGAAGAGCGGCAAAGAGCATAACAAAAGAAGGATAAAATTAGAAACCTGGACAAGTTCAACTGCACAGAATGAGAAGGATGCCAAATGCTCAAACTAGTCAAAAGTGGGTGAATATGAAATAGAATTCCTTTCCGGGTTCAAGCACCGATAATTATCTCATTAGGCAAGCATAAAACCTTGACGAACATTCTAACGCCAAGTCGCCAACAGATTTCAAAAATCTAGACCAAAATGATAAAAATATAATAAGCACATGACCAACAGAACCTACCATCTTTACCACTTTTCTTGGCAAGAAGTGAACTAACATTTCAGTAACTCCATCAAACACAAAAGCATTCCTACCCACAAATTTCAAAAACATCTAGACCAAAATGTTTTACAGCATGTTTAGCTCAATTGTTTAGAAGTGGAGTGAAGTTTGTAGATCCTTAGATGTACACTCTAGGTTCACTTCTGACGAATGATTAAGAAAAAGGAAAAGAAAATAATGGAAGGAGACAACAAACTTTCCTTCAGAAATATTCCAACAATTTATTGTTTGTTTCCACCAGCAAATCAAAGATAATCTATAAAATTATATACACAAGAATTTGCACACTTGCAATAGAATAGTCAGACTCGTAAGGAAAATCATCAAACGTGAAACTCAAATACCCAAATATTTAGCAAAGCTTTATTATATTTTTTCTTTATCCTCCATGTCCGTTTTACTGTCTATGTTCGAAGTTTGTGGCTACTCCAACTTACTGTCTATGTTCGGAGTTTGTGACTACTCCAACTTACTGTCTATAGTCAGAGTTTATGGCTAGTCCAACAATATTGCCTCCGTCCTCTCCTTAGGACTGAAATATTTAGGAAAACTTTATAATTTTTATCATCTTTAACACCCTTTCTGATATTGATTTATTTTAACAAATTACTTGCAAATGGTCAAATCTGGCCCCAAAATGCAATCTCAATGAATCCATTTTGAGCAACAAGAATAACCCAATCCATTTCTGTCACAACTAAATGGATACACAGCCCTGGTAGCTTAGCTCATTGTCGATTCAAACTAGAGAGGGGACCATAGACCAGGTCGATGCTCACAAGTACAAAATCAAATCAGAACAAAGTACATAACATGCGCAAAAAGAAAAACCATAAATGCAAAACCAGATTTGATTTTCCAATGGAATTAAAGCTGATAGTTTTCTAAAATTAACGTGAAAAACCCGTTTTCCAAATCACAACAAACAATGAAACCAGGAGGAGAAATTAAACATACCATCCACTAGAACTAGGGCGGTTTCCACTGGATCTGGGACGAGGAATCAATCCCAAATCTGATTCGTCGCCTCTTTTGATCTTCTCGTAACCGCCTGATTGGGGTCGCATATCTTCACCATAGTGACCCGACGGCTCAAAATGCTTCACCCCCTGTTCTCTCCCTCGAAAGACTTTGGGTTCGGGTTTCTCCTCTCTCCCCGCAAAACCAGGCCTAAGATGAGGCGGAACGAACCGACCTGACTTCGCCGATCCAGAAACGAACACACCTTCCTTTTCCTTCTTCTCCGGACCGGTAATTGAAATCCCAGAACCGGGTCGCAAAGAAATCTGATCAGATGACGGGTGTTGACCCGGGACTAAAGAAGACCGAGGTTCGGAGTGTTTGGGCAGCGTTGGAGACACGACAGGAGGGGTTGAAACAGGCTTTGGGGAAGGACGGGTCAGGACGAGCATGCGGCCATGGGTTTTGACATTGCTGGCGGATGAATAAGAAGCAAAAGACGATTGGCTTTGGGGATTCTTGTTGGAAGAAGAAGAGGAAGTCAGATTCTTCTCGATGACATGATTGAAATTAATAGAGGTATATTTGTTGGTTCTTGCCATCCACCTCTATCTCCGCCAACTTCTTCTACTCCTTCGTTTCGTTTATAAATTTGATAGAACCCAATTTACAAGGAAACTTCTCGTTTGGAGGAAACAATTAAATTGAAGGTGGTGTTCTTATGATAGATATGTTTTTATATATTTAACTTTGAAATGATGTATTTTCTTTTTCTCTGTCGGCTTTCGTGCTGCTGACCCGATTGCAATGGCGTTGCCGATAAAGTTCGGACCAACGCGGAACTCCATATTGTCACGCCCCAAAACTATGTAGGGTAAACTACCCAAATGGTCATTAATGTTTGAGTAAATTTCTTATTTTCCCAATTGAAATTTTAAAAAATAACAAATTGATCACTAACATTATCGATTTATAACAAATCGGTCGCTCCACGTTAAATTCCGTTAATGTGTGTGAAAGAAAGCAAATGTGTCACATTAAATGGTGATCTGACACCGTTTTATCATAACTTTAACTCCTCAAAAATTTTGACATGTGTTCTTCTCTCTTCTTCAAGTGGTGGATATCATAATGCAATCACCATGAAATGTTACGGAACTCACAGTGGAGCATAACACCCTAAATGTACAAGTATTAAATCCCCCATTCAAAAGAAAGATAATGAATGAAAATATCATAAAGCTGAAAATCAACTATAAAGAAATTCCCATGGTATATGCTGAGACAATTGTTACAGGGAAAAAGAAAAATCGAGAAGAGATGACAAGAATTGGTATGCATTCCCACTACTCCAGATTGACCACATGAAGTTACAAGTGCATTGAATACAACCCTGTATGGCTTTACATTCTACTGCATATGTTACTTTAATCAGTGTGAAGAAACTATGCATATAATAAAATAACTTCTAAATAGATAAGAGTAAAGAATTTATTTTCATAATAATACCTTAGATCTCATTGTTCAATAAGCACCAGATGCTTTGGCCACTTGCCCAGATCTAGGACAACCATCAATCAGTGTTCCATATGTATTAACATTAGGTTCCACTCCAACATTAACCATCTCATGAAACACCTATGAAGTCAGATTAACAATTAGCTTACCATTCACTAGTGAGTTATAAATTGCTTTTATGAAATGTAATTGAATAACCAAAGAGCACCAAATGTTTATCAGTCAGTTTGGTTCATCATGTGATATGCAATGAAAATTTGAAGAAAACATTTCTATCAGTTTGCACTCGAAGAACCATGAAGAAATAAATTAGGGAACAAAGTTACTTGTACTGAAATTTCAATTTCAAATTTCTAAAACAGAAAAGGACATTAAATATTCAAACAAAAGTATCCTGTGCAGATTAAGTGTTTAGAAGCACCTAACAATCTGACAACACATAATGACTTACCCTCATAATCTTTAGAGCATGCACATAGACATCAGCATATTAAATGTACTCAAGGTTGGATTGGAAATCAACTTTGTGAATCGGGAAGCTTCTTTAACAACCTTTTGCCTACTGCAGATTTTGAAAAACTTTGCATGATAAACCTGAAACCAAAGAATTTCATGTTCTCATAGAAGAGAATAACATTAGCACCACTCCTTTTTTTTTTTTTTTTTGACTCTGGGAAAACCAAAAAAAATGTAGCTAAATTACCAACCCTACCTTATCCATATCCAGCAAACCCTTTTGTTTCATATCTTCAAGCAAATCTACAGTCACTTAACCTATTATGAATAAAAAATTATTACTATTGGTAATAAGTTATTACATGGTTATGATCTTTCTTGTGAACCAAACATGTGAATCAATTCCGGAAAAGATTATTCCCCTTGATAATGATCTTTTTCACAAACCAAACGTCCCTTTAGGGTTTTAAAGCTCCACCAATTAGGGTGGTTATCGGCTATCAGTTGTTGCACCGTGAGCTCTAATGTTGATGGTTGTGTTATGATATTCATCACTTGAAGAAGAGGAGGAGAAAACTCAAAAGTTTTGGAAAGTCAAACTTGTGATAAAAACAGTGTTGGGTAAACGGTTAACAGTCCAACTCACCTTTATGT